ATATATATAAAAAATATATATATATATATATATATATATATATATATATATATATATATATATATATATATATATATATATATATATATATATATAGCCGATTGCAGCATGAAGCAATTCCAAACAACTGAATTAGTTAGCGGGTAATATACAACTTTAAACTTGCTTTGCATACAGAAACACATGCAGATTGTAATAAAAAGTACAACTTGATATATATATTACACTGTAAAAAAACCTCGAGCCGTTTTAAATTTTTTAGTATGCCCCAGTGGCGGTCTGTATACGAAACTATAAATGACAGAATACAATATAAAAGGAGTTCAACGTTTATCGGTTTATGTTTACAACATTGAAGTGTATTTCCGGTCTGCGCTGATATGTTATTAATTGACCTGTGACGTCCAAATCGAAGGGGGAATGTAGTCATAGGGATCTGGCTTGCAGGCTCTCTTTCACCCAAACCAGGTGTAGTGTAAGAACAAAACTCGATTTTAATTCCAGTTCCGAAGGTTTTTTGACCGTCAGGAAATGCTCCAATACAAGCGTCTCGGTTGTTGCTGTCTTCAGTATCCCATTGCAGATATCCAGTATGAGGTCCTTGGTAACCTCGTCCGCGTGAAGGGCATGTTCCTTTGTATCGCATCACCATAATTTCTGAACATTTGGGAAGACCATTGAGACGGTTGATTTTCGTACGAGACCTGATGAGGCCAGTGTGTGGTGGATCATTTCGGCAGCAAAAATGTATCTTGGTGTTGTGATTATACACACCATCTGGAAGAGTTCCGCTTCGCTTGTTCGCGTTTCGACTATCTTCATCATCCCAATATAGATATCCTGTTATCAAGGGATAGAACATTTCAAACGTGTTACGGAAATTTAGAGGTGGAAAGTATTCTTATGTATAACTAGGGATTATTTTAAGGTGCAGTGAAAACCAATTTGTGCAGTGCATGATAAATGAGGTTATATATGATTATAGATTGCATCATGCACTTATCACAAATTATGTAAGTTATATACGCTAGTTAAGTTTTCATTTAATATTTATCAATTGTGTGAAGGTCCTTTTTTTCTAAAATATAGGAAAGGAAGAGTACAGATTCCCAGAAAATCAAGCTCAAAAATACGAAAATGTCTAGGGGAGGCCCAGACCCCCGAAATGTTTTGTGTTGCATTTTCTAACGACCTTTACATGTACGTTCTCTGGGTTGATTGATGTTCTGCATCCCCATTTACAAATTCGTCCATTTGGCTAAGAAGCCAATTTTCAGGTGACCCATCAGTGCTGCTACTACTACTGCAACGAACAACATACTGTGTGACTCAAGCTTTTTGTGCAGTGATAAAATTTCCTTAATTTAAAATAATCCCTGAATGTAATATACTTTATTTAATGAGGGTATGAAATCGTGGCGCTCATGGGAAGCCATATAATTCCCTGGATTTTTTGAAATACTGCATGCAGCAGAATTTACTAATTGTATAGTATTGTTGTTTATACAAGTTGGATGAATACACTATATAGGTGTTTAAGGAACAAAAAATTATATAAAGCACCACATTCATTGCAAACAAATGTAGCTTGAATTTAGTCTTGCGCATGACCAGGGACGCCGGAACGATGTGAAGGCAAGGGGGGCAGATTTTCGTGAACGGGCACTTTTGAATTGATATATACTAAGAGATGTTTGCAAAACATCAGGAGTTGAACTTCGCCTAATCATGTTTTCTATTTATTGCATGATAGGGGTGTGAGGGGGTTCTCCGCCAGGCGATTGTGCTATATTCTTGAAGCTCGATGACTGCATTTCTTGCGTTTTCTGAAGCAAATTCGTAAAAGAATTGCACTAACATTTCTGACAATTCGCTATTTCGCTAAGGCAATCCTTTAAATTGAAAGGGCACCTTTGCCCCTCCTGGTAAAGGGCAACGGGGGCGGTTGCCCCCCCCCCCCCAATTCCGGCGTCCCTGCGCATGATATTATAGTTTATGGTTGTAGATACGAAATATACGTTATTTACGGCTTGTTTATCTTAATAATCCTAATTGCGTACTATTACATATAATACTAATAATAATAATAATAATATAATAATATTAATTTATAAGAAATGAACTTATTTTGTAACCAAAAGGTTAAATTACATAAGATCTTCTGTATATAGCTAAAATCTATTATATTACTATATTACATATAAGAATAATATAAGACTAAAACTTAAATTACGATTGATATTAAAATTATGTCTTACTATTTTCTTTAGAAATCATTTCGGGTAAAAAGGAATGTTTAAAGCGGTCAGTTTTGTAACTATAGTTATTGAATTTACGTGGTAATCTTAAGTCA